GATATTCACTTTATAATTATATTTCACTTCATTATTATATTTATATGTGTGGATTTTAAAGTATTTTTAGTGAGTTGCCGTCCGAGTCCAGAGATACACATTCTTCTCCAGCCATGACGTTAGCCACCAGAGTTCATAGTCACATATTCTTCTCCAGCCATGACTTTTGCCACCAGAGTTCATGGTCACACATTCTTCTCCAGCCATGACTTTTGCCACCAGAGTTCATTGTCACACATTCTTCTCCAGCCATGACTTTTGCCACCAGAGTTCATTGTCACACATTCTTCTCCAGCCATGACTTTTGCCACCAGAGTTCATGGTCAAACATTCTTCTCCAGCCATGACTTTTGCCACCAGAGTTCATGGTCACACATTCTTCTCCAGCCATGACTTTTGCCACCAGAGTTCAAGGTCACACATTCTCCTCTAGCCACGACTTTGAAGCACTGATGGTTATGTTGGGTGATATCGTCCATAAGAATGTGGCGTGCGTTCAATGCATCTGCTCTGGTTTCACTACCTTCTGGGTTCAGATAGATGGCAGTGAGTAACGTGGCCGTGCACCCGTCTCTGCACACGGTATACAGTCACGTGACCTCTAACTGAACCAACTTCCGGCAAAAGCACCAAGATTGTTTACAATCAATAGGAAGTTTACGTCAAGCCATTGTCGGTTTTTCGTTTTTGTTTTTTTAAAACGAAAATTTCCTGGAAGACGTTAAATTTCAAATAAAGAAATATTCTCAAACTCTGAATATATATATATATTTATACATACATATATTTTTGACACGACTTTCTATAACCATGACATAAAATACGAAAGTCTGTAATTTTACTTCTTGCCTACATCGTCATAATAATTTATGGACCCCCCCCCCCACATCCCAATATAAATCATTCGATTAAAGTCAACTAGAGAAAAAGGCTGCAACTATTCGTACCCGGGTACCAGAAGTGAGAGGTTGGGATTAAAAAACTGTTTAAAATATTATTGTTGGGTTTGTAAGACAAAAATGAGATATCAAATGAAATATAATTCAATCGACCATATGTTTGTAAACTTACTTCTTCAGTTTAACTAAAATAAACTACCACAAATGACATCTGAATAGTTTGAGACTAATGGTACCCGGGTGCGAATGGCGGCGCTGCGTGTCTGGGTCCATTTTGACTCAGTCTTATATAGCGCAGTACCCCAGCCTAGGGCTAGGCTCACCGGCTTCACATAAAAACTAGCAGTTACAGAAAATGATTCATTTAAATAACAGCTTTGTAAAACGATTGACCTCACCCACCCCAGTACCATCTACCCCTGTCTAGCCATCTTCGGGACAGTGGGGAAGCTAGGGCTAAATCCGCCCGTGGTGGTTCAAGGTTTTTTGCCGCCTCGTTTCCACGAAATAAAAATTCTGTAGTTTGCCGGAAATTCCCGCCCTCAAATGATAACACCGTCCCTACGCCCCTCAAATGTCCACACCGTCCCTACGCCCCTCCAATGCCCACACCGTTCCTACGCCCCTCAAATGCCAACACCGTTCCTACGCCCCTCCAATGCCAACACCGTTTCTACACCCCTCAAATGCCCACACCGTTCCTACGCCCCTCAAATGCCCACACCGTTCCTACGCCCCTCAAATGCCAACACCGTTCCTACGCTCCTCAAATGCCCACACCGTTCCTACGCCCCTCAAATGCCCACACCGTTCCTACGCCCCTCAAATGCCCACACCGTTCCTACGCCCCTCAAATGCCCACACCGTTCCT